CAGCCGTTATGGGTGGACCAACGGGCGGGGGGGGGGCAGCAGCAGCAGCCAGGAGGAGGAGAGCTATGACTTCGAGGATGAAGCCATGCAGGGCGATGACCCCTCCATTTTCGATGGCCCAGGCAACAACTACAAGGGGCGCCGTGCTGGCCCACACTCCCTGGGGAGCAGCCAAGAAAGCAGCCGGGGGGCTGGCTCCCACCACTGGGAGGAGGGTGACAGCAGGTCCCCAGAGATGGATGATGCTGACTCAGGAGAAGACAGCCCATCCACGGAGGACAACAGTCAGTCAGAAGAGCCTGTTGCCAGCCAGTCAGAGGAAAACAGCGTCAGCCGCTCTGGGGAGGACGGGGATGGGGAGGACAGCCCCTCCAGGCAGGGCGAGGGCAGTGAGTCTAGGGAGGGCACCCCCGACCAGTCAGATGAAGAGCTGGGAGAGTCCCCGGAGGACATCTCACATGAGGTGGTGAGCACATCGAGCAAGCGCAGCGGCAGCTGGTCCCAGGAAGGGCAGGAGGACCAGCAGTCTGCGGAGGACAGGAGGGTGCTGTCTGTGCCTGACAGTGAGTCCGGGGAAGACGAGGGCGACCAGAGCAAGTCTGGGGAAGATGATGGCGACCAGAGCCACTCCACAGAGGACACTGTGGAGGAGTCAAAGGAGGACAAGAATGACTCCAACCCTGATGGGGACGTGCCGAGCGTATCAGCTGAGAGCCAGAGCGCATCCCCGGAGGATGACGGCAGCCAAGAGGACAATGCAGGCAAGGACAGCAGGTCCACAGAGAGCAACAACAGCGAGTCCCAGGAGGACAATGATGATGACGATGAGGAGAGCCACTCCCAGGAGGACGCCACCCGCGAGTCCAGCAGCCGCGGGGACGACAGCTTGCCACAGAGCCTGGAGAGCGGGAGCCGGAAACGGCGGCCGGGCACCTACCGCAACAAGCCTGCTGCCGACTACGATGACAACGACTGCCAGGATGGGTACTGACACGTGCCCCACAGCCTCGGTGCTGGGGGTGCGGGGGGGAAGAGGGGTTTAATTTATTTGCTATATAGCCTGGTTGACTTCTTCCTGAGAAGATGCTGTGGACAAATGAGGCCAGGTCGCCAGGGCTCGACCTGGGCACACTGTATGGGACGCGAAGTGGAAGGTGATGCCAGACACAGGGAAAACGCCAAACTGCATCGAGAAAAGCCATTTCCTATACCAAACAAGAGAGCAGCTGAGATCTGTGAGTGCCAGCAGGGTGATGCTGCCTGCTTGCCACAAGGGCACAGTGGTGGCTTGGCACTCCAGGAGCTGCACCTGGGCATGCTGGGCAGAAAGGTCCCTGCATTCACCCCTTGTATTTACCTACCACTGCCCTAAAAGCGTCTGCCCAGACTCCAAGGGGAGCTTTCCGTTAGCTCCACGTCCTGCACATAAGGAGGAAAAGCTACAGCTGGTGTGCATGCCTGGTGCATGGGCTCAGCGGTGTGTTAAGTACCACTTCAGGGTGGGATATATGTAATATTTTGTAAGAAATGTACAGAAAACATTATATTGTATCCTTTTTGCACTTGTATTTCAAAGCTGAAATGTACCCTATTGATTTCTTTAATTACCATTAAAACCATCAAACTCCACAGTGGTATGGTTTGAGGTGTTGCTGTTTTTCTCTCCTGGGGCAGTTGGGTGCTGCAATTTGGGGTCGGACTGGAGCGAGTGGGGAGCAAAGAGCAGGCTGTTTGCACGAGGAGCCGCAGCATGCTGGGGTGAAGAGGAAAGCAGAGGCTGAGGGGTGTTCTTGCCCCCCTGTTTCCAGGCACCCCAAGGGCCACCCCTGCCCCTAGGTGACCCAGCAGTGGGGTGGAAAAGCTGGCTAATGACCCTAGTGAGCTGGGCCTGGGGCTTTGCTAAATTATGGCCATCACCTGCTGCAATGCGAGCAAGGGTTGTTCTGCTCTTCCTGAGGTGCTGGGAAGGAGATGCCCCAGGGCACGGGGGGTCTCCCAGACCACTGGCTCTGGGTGCCCACAGTGGACCCTGGCACCAGGTCCCCTGCAGCAGCGATGCAGGCGAGCAGGGGAAAAAGGGTTATCGTGGGCTGGTAGATCATGAGTAAAGCCTCTTTTACTCCATGTGCCTTTTATATTTTTTTTTTCTCCTACCAGCAAGCAAGTAAACAACACATTATTTGTTTAAAATCCCATCCAGGCCCTTCTTCCTTGTTCACATGTGTATGACGAGCTGTACAGCATGGGTATCGATGCTGACAGAGGAAGCTGCGGGCTGTTGCATAGCTGCACAGTTTTGCAGCATGGAGTTGTGGCTCTGCAGGGGACAGTCTCCAAGGGGTCAGCGTGAGTGCGTGCATGCCTTTCAGCTGCCTTGGGTCAGTGGTGTCATTGCTGGGCATTGCAATACCGAATTCAAGAACCAGTAAAGAAATGAAATAATTTTTTACTACTTATAGCAAGACCGCACTTAATTTGTAGACTCTTCCCACCACTACAAAACAGAACAGCTCCTGGTTTTAGTGGAACTTATTAATATCCACCCTGTGTAAGCTTTTTGTACTTCTGTATGAGATCAGCTCTGAAACGTGCTGCTTCCCCACGCTGCTGCCCTGGGAACGAGCCTCTTTCCTGACCCTGCCTCCTCCGCCCCACTGGTCCCCACTTCACAGTGGATACCTCGGCTGCAACTTGCTCCTTATTTTTTGAACCCCTTGCATTAGTTGTGCGAGGAGTTGGGGATGCTGTGATGGTGATGATGCCTGCCAGGGTTGCGGGTACCAAAATGCTGGTGCACAGCCCTATCACTGCGGTGAAAGATGGCAAGCATGGGTTTGGCTGCAGCCCAGAGGTGCAAAAAGGGCTGGGTGACAGCTGTCACTTTGGTTTAAAATTATAGTAATTATGTGTTTGCTGGCTCCTCTGCGCGGCGGCGCAGGGTAGAGCGCTGCTCTGAACTCTCCCGTGTCCAGCCAAGTGGTGCTGCTGCTGAGGCAGCGGGGATGTTTTGGGTGCTGACTCTGCCGCAAGGCTCGGTCACATCCCCTGGGCCATCAGAGGTGATGTTTGCGTGGGGACAACTAGTGGGGATGGGGACTGGGAGGATTTTTTCAGGTCCCTCCAGGAAAGCGAGGGGTGTCCCACAGCTCTTTGGTGAGCCCAGCCCGTGAGCAGGATGGCCGAGACGTCACAAGGGTGGCATGAAATGGGCTCCATGAAACTGCTTCTTGCAGTTTGTGCATGACCCTCTGTCCATCCTTATCCTTGTGTGAGCAGCGCTGGGATGAGTGGCAGCACGGCACAGCTGGGGATGGGGCCGCTCACCTGGACCCCCCTGCAAAGGGGACAGCGAGCGCTCATCCTTCTCTTGTTTCATGCATGGAGAGAAAAACTGGGTTGATTTGGCTTTAGTTTGAGTGGGAGGGGTGTGTGCCTTGCAAACAGGGCATGCGGCACCCCGCTGTAGCCTGTGCTCAGGGGTAGCTAGCTGCGCTCCCCCTGCACGTGGGTCCCCTTTGCATGCCTTCCCAGCGACATGCTGCAGTTGCATGCACGTCCCAGCCAGCAACACCCAAAATTGGCCTCCCGCTGGCTGGCTGCTCCCCAAAGGCCAGGGA